ACAATCAATGTTTTAAAATGTATATTACTGAATCATTGGCTGATATATGCATTACATTACAAGCTATGTTTTTGTTAATCTAGAATTACATGCATAAAAGAAATTTGCATAGTATGCACAGTTTGTGTACTGTATTGTATTCTTTTCAAGTGTAGTAAATAATATCACAGCAATATCATATTCACGGTTGAGGGATGTTGGGGCACAAACATTTTAGAAATTTTCTGTGGTATAGAAATGATACACCAATGTTCAAAAGTTTGGGGTCGGTAACATTAGGCTGCATTTATTTGATCAAAAATACAGTAAAACAGTTATATTGTGAAACATTTATTACTATTAATAATAACAGTTTTTTGCCCAGGATTTTCTTTGATGAATAAAGTTCAAAAGAACAGCATTTATTTAAAATAGTAACATTTTAAGTCTTTACTCTGATTCAATTTAATGCATCCTTGTTGAATAAAATATTAATTTCTTAAATTTGTTTTAAAAAGAATCTTACTGGGCCCAACCCTTTGAACGGTAGTGTAAATAGAAAAAATACTGTACCTAGAAAACAAGCCTTTATAAAAGGCTTTGAGATCTACCCTGGGATTAGGCATGATTCCAGCATTGAGATACAGATAGTCCAATCTTTTGTACCTGTTAAAAAAAAGTATCAAATATTAAATAACGTTTTAATCTACGTTTATCAAACTGGAGGCTCCAAATGTGCTTCACTGGTCATATAATACCAAGTACGAAAGTATTGATGCACTAATCTGATTAACTTTGTATGAATTCTTACAATGGCTCCAAGGGGTTTAAAAAGTACTCAAACTTTTCATTACATATAAGTGCATTTTATTTTGTTGGTTTATGGCATGAATACTAGAGTACTGAAAGTTGTATAATAACACCAAATTGCATCGGTCAACAGGGAACAATCTCAGAACTTTGGCTAACATTCTGGGAAGCTTAATCTTAATAGAACATTTGTTATCTGTCTTTATTAAGTTTATCAAAACATTGGCACAGAGGTCTTCAACCCTGCTCCTGGAGGCCCACGCTGCGTCCGAAATAGAATACTTCTCTACTATATAGTATGCGAAAAACAGTATGCCAAAAGGGTAGTATGTATGTTTTTTTAACGGTTACTAAGTATATTCAAATGTAGTACCTACTCATACAGTAGGTATGCGATTAGCTCGATTAGCTGGTTTAGGTGTGTTTGAATGGTTGGAGCTAAACTATGCAGGACAGTCACAGAAGACCTCAGCATTAGCAAAAAAAAAAAAGTGTTTTACATCATTCATGGAACATTTTTCAAAACATGAAACAGTTAGATGTTAGTCAAAAGTTTTTTAAACGTTACTATCTACCACTTTTTTTCAGATAGTTCAAAAGTAATTTTCCAATAATACTTGCAAAAATATAAAATAGACAAAGCATTCCCCTAATGTTTTCTCTAACATTCACATAATCAAGAAGAAAAAAAAGAAAAAAAGGTTACAACATTTAAAGGTAGGATAGGTAATTTTCGGAGCGGCTAGCAATAGCGAGCTAGCTTTGAAGGCCTAAGATCCCATCCTCCCTTTAGAGTGCTCTACAAAGCCACCTTCAAATCACATGAACGTGTACAGCAAGGAGCAAACAAAACCATCCCGAAAGACAGTGTTAAAGTACATCATGTCTCAAAGCATATAACATTACAATATAACATACATAAACAACTTAAGAGCTCTGACCTATACCACCTGACTGCTGCAGATTCATTTCGTAGTTAATAACGTTGTCATAGAAACGCATAAATTTGAGTCACTAACCGCTCCGAGTATAATGTCACGGGTTTCCATATCTTCCAAATTACAGTAGTTATGGTGTGATTGCTATCAGGGATGTGAAGAGACTTTCAACCAGCATAACATAAAAAAAATTCTGGAACAAATCACCTACCCTGCCTTTAAAATACTGGACATTTTGAACATTCAGAAATAACGTTTTCATAACATAATAAGCTAGGTTCATGCTTTCCAACTGTGGTGCATTCAATTTGAATATGCACAAATGAGATTTAAGAGGGCAGGATTTTTTAGTGTGTGATAGACTAAAGTTTCAGTCTGTTCCTCACACAAAACTATAAAATAGCTTCAAAAGACTTGAAATATAGCAGATGAGTCATACAGATTACTTTTATGATGCTTTTAGAGCTTGACAGCCCCTGGTAACTATATGCTTAAATTAAAAGAATTCAGTAGCTATACCATAACAGCACCATCAAAATGATAGTGTATTTTGGTAAACAGGGACTGGGATGTCTTACTTTTGCTTGAACTCCTCAGCAGCCCTGAGCACTGAGCTCATGTTGCCCACATCTAAGTGCAGCAGAGAAACTTGAGCTTGAGGGTGAGACACTAGAAGAGCCTGTTGGGCAGCTTCAGCTCTCTGCATGTTCCTGCAGGCCAGACAGAGCTGCAGCTGGGCATCCTGGCTTAGTAGACGCTCACACAGGGCAAGGCCAATACCACTGAACACATGACAGCAAACAGGGTTATATGCAGTGAACATTAACTTACAGAGTAAAGAGATGCATTGTGCAACATGTCAACTACTGGCTATATGAGAACACATACAGAATAATACAATTAATTCTAATGTATTTCTTTCAAATATGTCTTTTGGTTATTTAAAACAGAAAGATAATTGAAAAAGAACCAAAAGTTTCCATCACTATAATGACAACAGAATGAGTTTTAAAACTGATGTCTAACTATTATAAGTTATCACAGTGATGTGAAACTATAAAGAAAACAATTAAATACACACAGTTTCGTTACCTGTTCGCACCGGTTACCAACACTACTTTCTTCATCCTATCTTTACATTCACACAATATATGATATGCTAAATGTGATATTGTACTTTCCCTTCGCAACAGTTTCTAATGTGGTATTTAGCCGGTGTGTGTGCGTACGGATGGAGTTTGCACTGCCGCCATGGTGTGATTGGAGGTCACACGGCTATCGGCCAATCAACTGTTTCCTTTCTGTGACGTGACATCAACTCTGACCAATCAAGACTTAGCTACTGTCAGACCAGGCTAACCAATCGTCGGAAACCTAAGTAATGTGATAGCAGAACTTCAGCAAAGTCTGCTGCTGCCTTAACTTTGAGAGACAACTGAAGCGTGATCAGTGAAGCAGCTCTAGTCAGCGAGTGCTCTCAGAAACTCAGTTTTAAAATTAGATTTATTTGGGGGGGAAATATGAACGTTTAAAAAGCAAATAACGAGTACAGACAACGTCAAAATAAATAAGCTGCACACAAACGTCAAATTCACATACAAATACACATTTTATTACTGTGAAAGTATGAAATCTGCTTTTATAATTATAAAATATCTAGACAACATGTTTAGAGATTCATCAATTTATTATATCGTATGTACAATTTTCTAACACATAGCCCTACATGTAAAAAAGGTTATTAGTGGAAAAAAGACTGCTATTAAAAGAATACAGCACTTAAACTTAGGGATATGAATAGAGCATCAAACGATTAAAGGGTTAAAGAAAGAAAATGCAGTATATTTTTCATATTGATAAAAAATAATCCAGTTTCCCCTTCATTGTGATAAGATATTGTCAATGTAGAGAATATATATGAAAACGTTTTTACTCTCCTCACAAAGCTGTGTTTTATAAAGTGGAATGTTGAAAAAAATTTTGTAAACAAACTCAACGTCTCAAAAAGGACTATACCCTACTGTTTTATGTTTATAGTATGAAAGAAGAAACTTTAATAGACTTGCTGAGAAAACCAGCTGATAAAACATTTAAACAGTGCAGAATTAGAATTAAAGCATATCTATAATGCAACTTCATCAGTCATGTCAAGAATGTTAAAATTAATCTATACATGTAGATAGAGACTTTCAAATCCACAACCAAAACACTTATAGAATGGCAGATATCTCAACTGACCCCAAAAGGTGCACAAATTTTCAATATTATAGTCATATACAATGACCATACAAAAATGATTTACAAGTATACAAGTTAATTACAAAACAGATTTCTGAGTGTTCAGAACAGCACTTTTCACATGCGAAAACACATCACAACTTACTGTAACCATCATAGTGCATCTGTTCAATACAAATCCAGTATTTATCCAACAGTTTAGCAATTCAGCACCACTTAGAATATACTCTAAAATAAAAGAAAGACAAACAGCTTTAAAATAAGCTTATTTTCATCTTTGATCAACGGAACTGGTGATAATAAATGTACTTACAGCCCCATTCGGGCCTACTTTGAGAATAGATGAACACACAGGACAAATATAATGAAAAAATGTACAATTACTATTAAGTCATTTTACTATATCGGATTTTATCCAACTTCATGCAAATATTGTAACAGATTTTTGTAAAAGGATATGGCTATTTATAGCTCTTTATGCTGACATTTATGTTTCTTGATACAAAAGTTGTTTTGAGCAAAGAAAAATGATGAAATAGGCTTAAATAATCACCATTTTCACCATAATAAGCAAAACACTTATGTAAAGCAGTACACTTAAATATAAACACATATATAGGTAGTTGCGGATAACTATACATTTTACATTTACAATTTTAATTGAATCTTTTCTGATTTTGAATTTTAAATTCTGTGGCAACCAAATCAACTTTCTGTTACTCCACTTGGTTGAAAGTGGTCTTTGCAGTTTACTACAGAGAAAAAAAATAAAATATGCAAAATAACAAAATACTTTAGCATTTTCAATAAATGAGATGAACATGTACACAAACGTCAAGTGACATCAAGATAAAAACCAAAGGTGAATCTGAATGTCAATTAATGATTCTTATTTACATTCAAGCTGTCTTCGGCCTCAAAATACTGAAAACAACATTAAATTGGAAATAATAAAAGGCCCATTAGTAGCCAATACCATGTTTTAATGCCTCTTTCTATTCAGAAAAAGATATTTTCTAGATAATAAAAAAGAAAATACACAGTGTGTAAAATCCAATTCTTCTGTGTTAAAGGTGCATAAATTCATTGCTACATTTTCTTTAGCCTAGTGCTGCCCAGGTATTGTATGCCAACTGAGGCACTTAGTTAGGGGGCGTATAGTTCAATCATACAATCTATATATATACTTATATATCAGTTTGCCTTTGCACACTCACAGTGAAAATAGCTACAGAAAAAAATGATAGATTCTGATCGAACTTCCTATATATGGGAATGTATAAGTGCGTGTTGATGTGTGTAGTCGACTGAAGTCCTGTGGGCGAACTGAAATGTCTCTGGGAGTGCCAAGGTTGGCACGTAAGTGGACACTACGGCTTGCATTCCTGTAGTGTGTGATGAATCTCCTGGAAAGATGGACGCTCTTTGGTGTTCCTGTGCCAGCAGCTCAACATGAGCTTGTAGACGGGGTCCGGACACATTGGCGGCTGGGGCAGGTATATCTGAGGATAAGAAAATACTCAGAACTATTAGACGTGGTTTAGATTTATAGGATCAGTTTAATCTCATACACCTCTCCATAATAGCAATTAAAGGGTTAGTTCACAAAAAAAACTTTGCTTACTCTTCAAAATACAAATTAAGATATTTTTAATGAAACGTGAGAGGTTTCTGTTCCTTCACTGAAAGGTCTAGGTAACCAAAACTCAGGCATCGTAAAACAAATCCATATGAATCAAGAGGAATGAATTATCCGTCAATGTTTTTAAAAACAGTGGTGTAACATGACATTTTATAGATGACCATGGTCTAATCCATACTGTTGTGCTGTCTGATATATGACTTTTTAATGTGTATGTGGAGTATTTTTCAGCTATGCATATTAATACGTTTAATTGTTGAATGTTTGCTTTTGTATGCAAACATTGTTTAGTATGCTATTTATTCAGTATATTCCAGTTGAACTATATGAGTAAAAAATAAGGGGGTGTCCTGTTGCGGTTAGTCTTGGGCATTAAAATCCTGGGATGAAAATGGACCCCACTCCGGCCCTAGACAGAAACCTCTCATGTTTTATTAAAAATATCATATTATTTGTTTAAAAGCTAAACCAAAGTCTTAAGAGTTTGGAACTAGGCCTGTCACGATCATGAATTTTGTTGTGATATTTAATTGTCATACATATAATTGAAATTAACGATTTAATTCTGTTTTGTTCATGTCACTTTCAGTGTAATGCTAATACATTACTGTTTTACTTGAAATCGTCTATAATAATAAAAAATATAATAAAATAGGCCCATGTGTTTACTTAAATGCTATGAAAATGTATATTTGTATAATATAATATAATATACAGTAATTATTAGGTTTGTGTTTGTACTTTCTTGTTTTACGTGTGCCTTGGTTTCCTATGTTCCCGCTTATTTGTTGTCATAGTTACCCATTGTTTGATTGATTAGCCCCACCCCTCTCGTTTTCTCCCTCAGTCAACTTGTGTGTATATATAGTCCTCTGTTTGAGTTATTCTTTGTCCGTTCTAGTCGCTGTACAATGTGGTTGTGTTTCTCCTGTGTGCAAGTGTGTTTGTTATTTTTGTTTATTGTTAAAGTTGGCGAAATGGAAGAGGAGGACATTACCACTCAGCCACAGCCTCCCTAGCCCACATTCTGCCATCATCAATCCTCGTTCCAGTGACCCCACCTGCCTCGGAACTCCTCCCTAGTCCTTACCACTCCTCCAGTGTCCTTGATTTATTGTTAATTAAAGTTAACTGCTGCATCTAGATCCTGCCTCAACTCATGTTTGATGCAACCACCAATGCTGACTGTCATATAATATAATGCATTCTGATTAAACACACAAACCTTCTTTCCATATGAAGGAAAACCTTTGATTATCGTTATGTACTTTACAACAGTTTTTTCAATATTATTATTACAAAATGTAAAAAAAAACAAAAAAAACACACACGATCAGAGGATTAATCAAAAATGCGGCAGGCCTATTTGGAACGACATGAAGATGAGTAAATGATGACAGAATTTTCATTTTTGGGTGAACTATCACTTTAAGCATCCTTTTACCTGTCTCCTCTGATCCCGAAAGAACTCCCCTGTGTTTTCAATGACCTGCTCATCTGAAAGCTGTGAGTAGGGCTGCTCTTTGCAGAAGGTAAGCATCTCCCAAAGGGTCACGCCAAAAGCCCACACATCACTGGATGTGGTGAATTTCCCCTGTAAAGGACAAAAATTCTCCCGTGTCAGACTTTTATAGACATAGAATCTGTTTTAACCTACAGCATGTATGAAAAATAAGTTTCAGCCAGAAAATTCCACACTTATTTCCTTTGTCAAGTTTATGTGTGTGTGTGTCTGACCAGAAGAATGCTCTCCCAGGACATCCAGCGGATGGGCAGCACCGCTCTTCCCTGGATACGGTAGTAGTCTCCACTATACAGGTTCCTACTCATTCCGAAGTCTGCAATCTTGATGGTGTAGTTCTTCCCTACAAGGCAGTTGCGGGTGGCCAAGTCCCGATGAACAAAGTTTAGTGAAGATAGATACTTCATGCCTGAAGCGATCTGTGTGGTCATGTGGTGCAGGTTACTGTAGCTGAGAAAGTAAAAATATAGAATATGAGTCATAACCTGGTTAAGATCACTCCTTGAAATTAAATTTAGCAATGAAAAGTCGCTTGTTGACTCTATTTCTGCAATTCTGTACACTTCCTTTGTAATAATGTGTTAATTTTTCATTGGGATTTTAAAGTCCGAGTTCACAACTGTTATTGCACTTCCAATTGCCATTTCTATACTTAAATGTAAATGTTTAAAAAGATTTGGTATCAACCTGACTGTTGGAGCGTTGCTGAGGAGAGCGATCATGCCTTCAGGCTCATGGCGAGACAGGAACTGATTAAGGTCTCCGTTCTCCATGTATTCGGTGATCATACACAGAGGGTCAGAGCTCATACACACTGCCAGCAGCCTGATGATGTTGGGGTCTTTCAATCGTGACATGATCTTTATCTCCTTCAAGAAATCATTCCTGTAAGGTATTGAGAAAAAGAGCTATGGCAATTTGGCAGGGGTGTGTTTATTTTAGGACCAGTAAACCCAAAAATTAAAATAATTTTTTCATCTGTGGAACAAAAACAATAAATATTTTCTGTCATAAAACTAATGACAGCATATGGATGTGAAACAACAACAGCATTGTCATTTTTGTGTGTAGTATTTCTTTTACATTTTGATCATAATATTAAAGTTTGTGCAAGCACTGTTACGGCTTTTGTATTTTGGTTTTTGCATGCATTTGATGTTCATTAGGATGTAGTGTCAGTTTTTTGCTTTAATTTATGGGAGTCATGATTGTGACATTTGGGAATGCAAACCTAGCGTTTTTATTGGCATCCGCTCGAAGCATCTTAACAGCTACAAGCACTGTTTGGTTTTCAATGACATCGAAGGAGAAGTCCTCATCCATGAAATCTTGCATGCCTTCTGCTTCACACAAATGCACCTGGCAACACAACAGCAAAAACAACCATTTAGTATATTCAGATATCATTTAATGATATTGCAATTTACATTTTTTTTTAAATACTTTTATTTAGAAAGCACACATTAAAATGAAAGTAAATACATTAATGTTACGGAATATTTCTATTTCAAATAAATGCTGTTCTTTTTAACTTTCTATTTATCAAAGAATCCTGAAAACCTGAATCCCCCCCAAAAAAAGAAAAGAAAAAAAATCAACATTGATAATAATAAGAAATGTTTCTTGATCACCAAATCAGCATATTAGATTGATTTCAGAAGGATCATGTGACACTGAAGACAGCTGAAAATTCAGCTTTGCCATCACAGGAATTCATTACATTTAAAAACATTTGAACAGTAATGTCCCATAAAACACATGATAAAGCATGGAACAGGAAATTCTTTCATAAACTGAGCTATACAATCTAAAAAATCAAAAATCAAATGAGTATTATCATTCTTTTGAAAATATACAGAACTGACCTCTCCAAACTGCCCTTCTCCCAGCTTTTCTTTAAAGGTAAGCAGTTTCCGAGGAAATTCCTCCACAGCGACATCCTTCCCTGACAGCAGGTCCATGGTGAGGGCGGGCACAGCGTAGGTGTTTCCCCCAGTCACACCCTGCAGGTTGACTATGTCTGCCTCAGCATAATGTGGGACACCCTCTTGCACACTCACTGGAGGAGACTTGGAAGCTGTACTTGTTGATGCTGCAGAAAAATACAAATATATATGTATATATGCTATGCCTCCCAACCCCCCTTACATATTCCAAATATCACTTCTGGAACTCACCGGTATCCTCGGATGTTTGGGAAAACTCCGGCAGTTTGCGGACCAGACGGGAGGGCTCTTGGTAGTCGGGTCCCAGAGGGAAGATGCGCTCATAGGTGGAGTTGGACTCCTGCTCGCTGGACACTGAGGAGGGGCTGTTGTTGTTGTTGTTATAGGTGAAGGTCTCACTCTGTATTGACAGACTAGCAGTTAGTTCATCGTCCAGCATCCTCCGAGACACCTGGAATGAAGGATGTTTAGTGAAGAATGCTAAAAAAAGTCTACAATATTTACTAGTAGTTTGATGCATTATGCATCTGTGAAATCATATTCACAATCCACTTACGCATGCCTTTTTTTCATTCATATAAACACTGGAAAATAGCATTAAGCAGTAAGACTACAATAACAGTTTGTCATAATCATTATCCTTGTTTATTACATTAAGCCTTAAGGTCTGGTGCAGAATGGAAGTTTTTTATGCAAGAAGTTCATGTGGGAATATTCTGAGACAAAGACATAATTTAAAATCAGACTTGTACACATAATTAGACATAATTGGACACTCACACTACTGCTCAAAAGTTTGGGCTCAGAAATGTTTTTAAAGGTCTTTTCTCTTTTGCGCACCAAGGCTGCATTTATTTGATCGAAAATACAGTAAAGCAATAATATTGTGAAATATTATTACTATATACTAATACTAATATCTATATATATCTCTTTTCTATTTGAATATATTTTAAAATATAATTTATTAGTGTGATGACAAAGCTCAATTTTAAGCAGCCATTCGGTTTCACATGATCCTTCAGAAAACATTGAAATATGCTGATTTGTGCTAAAGATTTTTTTATTATTATTATCAATGATGATTTTTGTGAAAACTGTGGTTCTTTTTTTCTGGATTTTTTTTGATGAATAGAAAGCTTAAAATCAGCATTTAAACAGCATTGAAAGGTATAAACATAAACTTTTAAAAGGTAGTGTAGGTCATAGAAGTCTATTTAATCACATTTTAAAGCTATGTAAACTTCTGCCTGTCACAAATACATAAAATAATCTACATGGTTTAAATATTAAATTTATTTAATTCCATCTCACCTTTTCAAGCATCTTTTGCCACACTTGTCTCCATAGTATGATAACAATAATGGCCACTAAGATGAAGATGATGGCGACCAAGCAGCCAATCAGGATCCGGGTGTTGCTGTCATCTACTTTGTGGGTAGGGTCATCCTCTAAGAAAGAGGAAAAGAGAAAAATAACCTGCAAAGTGTCCTTGAGCTATGGAATGGTGCTATATAAATTAAACATATTATATTAGTGATGAAAAGATGAATGAAGTTCATCCAAATGGCACAGATCTCAGGGACGTGCACAGGAGGGAGGCCCGTTGGCTAGAGCCACTGTCCCACTGCCCTCATCGGCTGAGGTGCCCCTCTTGACTGGATGAACCCCCAAATCACCAGGTAAACATGATTTTGACAGAGCGATCTTCCCTCAGTGCCCTTTCTTGGTTTGGGCCACTGCCCCTCAAAATGTCTGTGCATGTCCCTGATAGAAACAGCTGGTTCTCAAAATATGACTCAACATCAGTAGGAAATCTGACCTGGTTGATTACTGGTGGGAGTACCGGGCTTCGGCGGAGCCAGAGTTGTGTTGTACATGGCTGTATCTGAAATCAGGGAGTTAAAACAGTCATTTATCCAATGGCTGCACCATTACGAAACAATTTTGAACAGGGTCGATGTCTTTGCATGGTCATTTACTAACCTGACTGGAAGGTGATTTCACTGAACATCATCCAGATGTCAGAAAAGTAGTACTGACACTTAATAGCACTGGCCATGTGATTGTAGAGTGAGACGGTGACGAAGCGGGCACTGGGATTGACATCATCCATCACAGGGCTGAATGATATAGGTGTGGCCTCCCAGTCTGACTCTGAGCGGAAATAACACACCACCTTCTGAAAGGTCTTTACCCTTTGGGAGAACATGTTGTTACAGTGCACCTGAATCAATTGGGATTAAAAGGGAGAGAGAATGAATAAAAAAGCATTATTATGGGTGTAATTTAGGAAGAGTTGGGTAATTTAAACCTTTAATCTTTACAATAAGCTTAATTATAGTTAAGTTCCAGCAATTACATAGATTGCACCTTTAATAACACCCTCTTATGCTTGCTCTCCTAGAAAGTTCATATGGCAGAAGAGGAAAGAATTAGCGGTGTACATGACAGACTTCATACCTTCATGGTGGTGAAGTTGCGGGTGCGGTCAAACTCAAACATGATCTCAACATAACCATTGGGAAAGCTCTCGTTGGTCCAGCCGACATAGTCATAACCAGGCCATACGTTGTACACGTGACTGTGTGTGAAGTCATCGAGACCACACATGCCATCCGTCAGTTGTCCAAGTCCTTCTGTCATACTACAGGGGAGAATAAAAACAGAATGTATGTTTTTGTGTGTATATATAAAAATTGTGATGTCATTTCCATCAAGAGGTGCATTCATTTTTGGTCAGATCTTGTACTGACGATGCAAGAGTCAAGCACTCTGTGAAGTCTATTCCAGCACATCCCAAAGACTTTCAATGAATTTAAGACAGGACTCAGAGGTGACAATTCATGTGTGAAAACTATTCTTTATGCTCCCTCCCAACCATTCTTTCACAATTTGAGCCTGATGAATATGGCCATGATGTGTCTTCCTACCTGGTTGTTTAAGAAATGAAAAGCTACACACTACATCAATTAGGGTTAGAACAACTGTTAACATGCTAGAAACACAATAATCACTGCAATAATAATCCAATCACAGACTCTTAAGCATTTGCCTATTTAAATCCAGTATTATAATACTACTGCTCAAAAGTTTGAGGTCAGTAAGTCATTCAAAAATAGTACTTTTTCTATTCAACAGGGATGCATTAAATTGATCAAAATTGACAGTGAAGACTTTTGCATTGACTTTACAATTTACACACAAAAAATATTGTTTTCAAATAAATTCTGTTTTGCCATCGCAGGACTAAGTTACATTTCAAAATATATAAAAATCCATAAGGCTACTTTTTGTTGTATTTCATTAATTCAATAGATAATGATGAATAAAATATAAATACAATAAATGAATAACAATAAACATAACAATAATGACGGATTACTCATTATTAGCAGGTCTCTTACAGATTGCTTTTATTGCCCTGACTAAAATTGTGTGATGGATGTTGGCATATTTCAGTTTATTATGCTCCGTTTAAAAAAATGTCACCACTAGATGGCGGCATTATATAAGTCAAATCTTAATTTTTCCCAGCAATGACACTTGTCGCTTTTGTGATAGTTTAATGACTATAAATGTGTGGAATTCTACTTTGCGGTTTTCTGCCAGTTTTGTCATACGCACACAAGAAGGTAAACAGACTTTGCACTGTGTCATGGAAGTTATTGTTCAGGGAGCAATGAGTCAATTTCTCCTGTGAACATTGTGAAACCACTGTGACTCTCTCCGGTCCTGGGCCTGGCGCCTTGTTGCCATAGCAACCAAGCAATAACAGGCCAGCTGTAGTTAGCCTGTATTGTGTAACCGATTCGGCATCAAATTTTCCACGTGGCACCAGGCATCAGGTAAACCGGTCAGTTCAAACCATACTGATATTGAATTAGTCGTCAGTGTAGATATATTGTCATTTAGTTGTAGGTTTAACTTTCTTACATCATACATTGTATGTTAAATCTCCATGTCAAAGCTAAACTAATTTTACTATACACTCAAACTTCTCTAAAGGATAATGTGTTTAGGAGTATCCAGTATCTTCCTCATTTATTCTCAAGCTTGTGAAAAGTGTACTGACCTGTAACTCATGGCTCCATCATACACCGAGTCATTGAGATAAATATACTGTCCACTGAGAGTCATCTGCTGGCCAAGTGGAGAATTATATGAAACCAAGCCATCTAGAAACAGCCACAGGAGAACATTGTCAACTCATTTTTCTTTTGTCAGGTGTCCCATAATGGAAACGTTCAAGTGGCTCTGTGCTATGATTATAATGCTGATTCATCCCACTGAAGGACATTAAAGTTGTCATTGCAAAATGATAAAAATCTCATCTGCATTAACAATTTCCATAACAGCATTTAACAAATCACTGCAAATCTAAAGTCAGAGAGAGAGAGAGAGAGAGAGAGAGAGAGAGAGAGAGAGAGAGAGAGAGAGAGAGAGAGAGAGAGAGAGAGAGAGAGAGAGAGAGAGATTGTGAAGATCCTCATCAATATCATATACATTCTTAAAAATATAGGTTTCAAAATTGGGTTTCCACAGTGATGCCACAGAAGAGCCATTCACCTTTCAGTGAAAATTTTTTTTTTTCTCGGTGTGAAGAACGTTTTAATAATCTAAAAAACATGTGTGACATGGATAAATGCAAATGTGTTAGCTTTGAGGTCATCTGTATGCTGTTGTACTCATAAATGTTGCCTACATTCATTTTTAACAGATTTAATATGTTGAATTTACAGTCGTTCTCTTCCAGAAAAATTGATGACTCATGTTGCACCGCCCAAACTTCCAGTTTCATTAGGATATACATCAACACAGGACAGAAAACCGCATCACGCAATTTCATGGGCCTTTAATTAAACTGCGTCCTCAAAAGTACAGTAAGCGATTTCTGAGAAATCAGACAGAGCACCACAACACATGTAGCCAATCAGCAGTAGGGGGCGTGTCCACTCATGATGAGAGAGTGAGCAAGAGGGAGATTTGAAGAAAGACTAGATAGAGAGATGGCTAAGAGAGATTACAAAAGAGAAAAGGTCAGAGAAATATCATTGGAAAAAGAAGGGTTATTATCAGGCAAGAGCTTTCGGACCCGCGTTAAGAAGGAGAAGCTTTCCACCGCTGGAGACACCTAAGCAGGAAGGCCTGAAAACAGACTCGTTGCGTTATTTCTACTCCATACGTGAGTAACATTGGATTGCTATGTTTCACAGAACCAAGATATGCTGTTTTTGTCAGGACAGTTTTTGAGTGTCATTGTTTTTTCTGGACCTGATGTTCTGTTGGTGACTAACAAGTAACTATTGCTTGTATATACTCAGTCTTGTGTACGGTTTGTTCATTTTTTGTTTTTCCCCAGACAGCAACATAGTGTCGGCCCAGATCCAGCCCACATCTGGTACACTTGGATTCCAGATCTGGGCCAACACTATGTTGCTGTCTTGGTCCTTGTGGTTCGTTCATAATCTTCGCATTATTTTGCTTCACTTCAGCTATGATAAAGAGACGTCCACTCCACAGGGAGGGGTGTGTTTGTTTGGGTTGATTTTATTTTTAAATATCAACAGTGTTTCTCAGAAATCGCTTAATACAGCTATTAAGGGATATTTCACCCAAAAATGAACTAGTATCTTACTTTCTTCCGTAAAAAAAAAAAATTATATTTTGAAGAGCATTGGTGGCCAAACAACGTGAGACCCCACTGACTTTCATTGTATGAAAAAACAACAAAACAAAATAAAAAGTCATGTAGGTTTGAAATGACATGAGGGTGAGTAAATGTTCATTTCCGGGTGAACTTTCCCCTTAAGCATTAGTTAATTTTCTTTTGACTAACCTTTAGACAAAACCCAAATTATTTGAAGCATTTAACTCACTTTAAGTTCAACACTTACCCAGCCACTCACAGCCATACAGTTCCACACGCATGCAGACGTTCATTGAGTGATCGATGACAGGCATGAAGCGGACAAAACGTGCAATGATGGGCGGCTCCATGTCCTTCAGCACAATGTCATATGCATTCCTGTTCCCCTCAATAACCTTCACAACAGAAAAACTTACATTTAGATTTTCCAGTGACATTCTAGTGACTGTACAGTACACATGGCCAAAATGTGGACGAAAGCAAACTGCTTGTAGCATGAGCATTAATAGGGAGCTGGTCCTCTCTAATAGTTGCACTTCTGGGACAGCTTTGCTCTCATTCAGACACAAATGTATCAGTGAGGTCAGGCACAGATGTTATGCGACAGGGCCTGGCTCACAGCTGACGCTCCAATTTATCCCAGAACTGTTTCATTAGGTTCAGGTCTCCACACTAGATAAAGATAACCTTTACTTTATGGTACTGGAACAGGAAATTTACGTCCCATCCTGAAAAGGGGTCTACTGAGATTTCATGGGTGTACAGGATGCTTGATTTTATGCACCTGTTGGTCAAGTCACCTTTATTTATAGTGCTTTATACAATACAGATTGTTTCAAAGCAGCTTTACAGTGATAACAGGAAAATGATCCATTACGGCTATTGTTCAGTTAATGTAAAGATCATCAATTATTAAATTAGTACATTATCTATAAAGCAGTTTTGCAAAACAATATGCCATTATCCAGCTCAGTTCTCATCCAACAGCGTCCGTACAGTCAGATCAATAATATTGTTAAATATGTCCCCAACTTAACAAGATAGAGAAGACAGAGGCAAGGAACCCAAACTCCATCAGGTGACAGAATGGAGGAATAAAACCATGGGGGAAACCAGGCTCAGTCAGGGGGGCAGTTCTCCTCTGGCCAACGAACCAACATGGTGTGATTGTGATTCAGGCTGCATCACAAGTCAGAATTCACTAATAAGTGTAGCAGAAAAAGTCAATCATGTTGAGTGGTGCCCACATACTTTTGGCCATGTTGTTTTTGACAGCAACATCGCAATATCTACTGACATATTACATCACATTCAGATGTGACTTATGAGTTATGATTTTTTTTTAATAATAAATTATAATATAACATAATATAATATAATACTAGTAATTGCTATTACACCAGTCTTTAGTGTCACATGATCCTTCAGAAATCATTGTAATGTGCTGATCTGGTGCACAAGATACATTTTTTTATTTTTTATCAATGTAAAGAGCAGAGTCATGACATTTTTTTGACATTGACGAATAGAAAGTTCAAAACAACAGCATTTATTTGAAATATTAAGAATTTATTTTGTAATATAATTTATTAATAGTAATATGTAATCAGCTGAATAATGCCGGGGACACACTTAACGACTAGCTGAAACCTTCTAAGACTGAACTGAACACACTTAAAGACTGTTTCCAACGACTGCAGCAGATTTTAAACACCGACCAGTGTATCAGTACGTACCTCTTTGCCCTGCCTGTTGCGCCAAGAGATCCAGCGGCTGCCATCGCGGCTATATTTGATCTTGTATGTTTGGGCAAACTCATTTCCAATGCCCCCTGCGTGACGTCCCTGAGTGCCCACCAGAGTGATGAAGTGCAGAGAACGGAGGTCAATCTCCAGGAACTCGTTCATATTCTCAGGGTCTCCTGCTATCTCAGGGCACCATGCACCATCTCCTTCCTCACAGTCCAGCCTAAGACACACAGAAAAATAACCTTAAACATCGGTTTCATTTACAGCAATCTCTTTGAGTCTTTGGTCTCTGGACTGCATCATAAATCAGTCTAAAATGGTTAATTTTGGGTGAAGGGGAATGTGTTGGGAACACTTCAAATCAGTGAAAATGCAGAAGCAATATATGGAGGAAGCATAATTACATAATTTTAGTGAGGCTACGAAGAGGCCACCCACAGTTCCCCAGATGTGGTTTGCTCCCACCAAGATAACCTGCACTACAACTCATGGAAAACACAGTGTGTGTGTGTGTGTGTGTGTGTGTGTGTGTGTGTGTGTGTGTGTGTGTGTGTGTGTGTGTGTGTGTGTGTGTGTGTGTGTGTGTGTGTGTGTGTGTGTTCATACCTGCCATATTTTGCTGCTGTGGAGTCAGACCACTGACTGGAAGCTGAGATGTCTTCATCTAAGATCTGGCCTCTGGACATTCCTAACGGGGACCGACACACACCTGTAAAAATAATATTGTTAGTGTTTATTTGCCCATCAACCTTTATATGCAAATAACACTGTAAAGTCACACCCTGCTTATATGAATCTACACAACTCATAATCATGCAGACAATACTTAATGTAATAACTTTTATATAGCATTTTTTTTTATTATTCCTATGTCCTATGCATTTCAGGGGCTTCCCCTTATTTGCCTACATGAACAGTATAGAGAATGATAGTTACAATTTTTTTTTTAAATGTTAGCACCTGAATTTTATGAATATTTTTTCATATTACAGATTTATTCACTCCATGAGAGAAATAGACAAAAAATGCTAAGGGTTTTGTTAAGATTATGATGTTTTAGTAACAAAATATGTACAGAAAAATGCTTTTTATTGCAATATATCGTCATTATAAATGATAAAAATATCAAATATTCATAAAATATTTTTCTTTGTGTTCAAAAATAGCATGTAAAATTATGTAAATTATTTTATTACTGTATTTTACATTTTATTTTGAATCTACAGTACTTGGCAACAGTGGATGATTGGTTGAAAAAAAGTATAAAAGTGAAAAGAATAAATTAAGTACATTATTTTAAACATGATCAAATGTACTGATTTATAGTTAAATTTGCCATGTGAGAAGGGATGGGCCTTGAAGAACCCCTGTGTAAAGAGAAGTAGGGCTCTAGACCACCACCCACTGATAAATGGTACAATTTATTACAAACATTATTTTATATTTTGATTGCAAAATCACATAATACTGCAGAGCCAGAAAGGATATATAAATCTTAATCTCTCATAATATCTCTCTGAGTGTCAGTGTGAAGATCCGGACATGTAAAAAATAAAGTGTACAAGGACACTTCTATTCCAAGTGGCCCCTCCATCTCAACAAAATAGGCTTTGTGATCCTGCCAGCAATAGCAAGGATAGTGGTGAAGGACTTTTTGTCTCTCTTTTCATTTTTTTCTGTCTCTCCTCCAAATGTTTGCTTAAAAGTCAAGATGGGGGAAACCTCAGAGGCTTGGTTTTGGCAATGGCAAGCTGATATAATCCAAAACGAGCTGAATCCCCCAACAAAAAGCTCTTCCAGATGTAACAGAACGGCATCCTCCTCCCCCATCACTCTCTCTCTCTCTCTTTCTTTAACACACATATGCACTTACTCAAAAACAGGCTATATATACTATATAAAACTGGGCAATATAGAGAATACTAACAATCTATTACATTTTTCAGGGAATATCAAATTAATATTGTGTATATTTTAATGCACTTTTCATATATTAAATGGTAATATACAAATTGCAATAAATGTTATTTTTAATGTATTCAAATGTTTGTTAAATGTTTATTAAAAATATATGTAGGTAATATCTTATATATATATATATTTTTATTTTATTTATTATTATATTATTTTTTATTTTATTTATACATTTTGATGAAATATTTTACTTGGCAATAGTGACTGATGGTTTAAACTCTCTGATTGAAAATACTTTTTTATTTATTTAAAATAATATTAAATAAATATATTTTATTATTTCATCATATTATTTTATTTGTTATTACTGAGTCCCCCCCATTTGGGGGCCCCCCCAAATTTCATAAATTAAATCATTTTAGCTGTATCATTTAGCTCTTAAACACACACACACACACATATATACCACACACCATTATTATATATTATAAAACATATAATAGAAATAATATTTTTTAAAATATTTTTTCATAAATTGAATCATTTTAGCTGTATCCCTCAGCTAAAATATTCACACAATTTTATACTTCAGGGCAGAGTTTTCATCATAGTTTTGTGAACGCAGGCAAAGCAGTGTTAGACAATTGACACAAGAGTGCCACATAGATCAAATGTCTTTCAAATGCAGTACTGTTCGACTGCAGACTCAGGGCCAGCTGTGTGTTAACAGATGATCTCACAAGGTCACAATAAGAAAAAGCACGGGAAGGTAGTAAAGTAATACGCAAATATGAACACTGTATTCTCAATGATGAAATTAACAAAAAGATGAATGGATTGTTAAAATAAGATTTGTAAAGAAAGTTTTTTTTCGTTCATACATTCACAGCACTGTGTATTTAGTCTCTGTTTTTCTACTCTCCCTGAGTGGACGGTTATAGCCTCAGTATCAGATGGAGTAAACATTCAGTCTAAAAATATTCCTCACTTCAGAAAGGTGGAAAAATACTCATGTTGTGTGAAGAAACTGTGGGCTTTTGGTCTTTCCTCTCTCTCTTTCTCTCATGGGCCACTCTGGTCTTGTGCAGTAATTCATTGGTCCGAGTGGCGCTTATTTCCCCCTCCTGCCAACCGTTTTTTTTCCATCTTTAATCCTTGTGAATGGCACATTTGTTCCACCATGTTTGCTGTCTAACTTCATGGTCCAAAGCCTTGCGCACACACACACACACACACACACACACACACACACAGTCACACACGCACACACGCACACACCCGCACGCACGTGTATAGTAACATACACACACTTTTAATCACATGTAAACTGCTGGAGGAGGTACTTACATTTTTTTCTTTTCTTTCTTTTTTTTACAGTAGAAAAAAGTAAGAGTCCTCAAAGTGGAAAAAAGCAGAGAGTAGGATGGTATAACTACAGTCTTTGGGAATTTTAAACAGAGGAAAGTTGGCAGAGGAGATCTCTACTGAGTTCAGCAACACACTTTTCCAGAAGTATAGGAAAAAATTTCCAGCGGAAATATGAAGGAGCAAAACTGATGTTTAAAGAGGTTACAGCATCTCTCTCCTGGAAAGAATGGAAAGCAACAATTTATACAATTTATCTGAAACACTGTCATTAACTTCTGTCACTAACACTAAGGTCAACTAGCTGAATACCAAAACGATCAAACTGTAAATGTGAGAAAGACTGCTGCCGTGACATATGAGCTGCAGAAACAAATATCTGAAAAACACACAAAGCACTGGAGCAAAAAAAGAAAAGAAAAGAAAAAGTAAGAAATAGAAGCTGTTTCGATATTCTTTCCTGTTGTCAAAATGTCTGGTATGTACAAGCCACAGACTCCAGTCTGATTGTTGAATCCATTGTAAAGAATCATGCTTGCGCTCCTGCTACATTCAATAATAAACTCAAAGCAAGGTCACATCCTCACACAGAGCTCACACACAGTTCAATGAGGTTTGAGTGATGGACTCTATCCTGTTACATTTCACCACTCATTTAGCATGGTGTTCTTTCCTTTCTAACCACCAGCCTGTACAAAAAAAATCTAAACTCAAGATTTTTTAAGTGTCTGTGATGAGAAGTAATAATATTAGGCAGCAATAATGGGCTACCATGATATATCGCTAAGACCGTGTTTCAAAGCAAAGCACTGTAGTGTATTGATCCAAACTGTAAAGTACAGCGCAAAAAAACCCAAACAAACCCAAAACAAAAACAACAACATGCAAATGGTAATGAATGGTGAGCATGTTGTCATAATTATTTCCAACATGTCATTATAAATCTGTATTTTCAAAATGAAGGGCACAGGAGGCACCCTTCATTGATAAATGAATCTAATGAAAATGTCATGTCATGTCAAATAGATCAATAAAAGAGATATTTTGCATTGTGACATTTTCATATCAGTAAAGCAAAAAAAGAAGAGAAACTTACATCATTACCAGATGGAAATGAATGGTGAGCATAATTATTTCCACCATGTCATTGTAAATGTATAATATATATATATATATATATATATATATATATATATATATATATATATATATATATATATATGTACAGTATATATTTCCAAATTTTTTTTGTGCCTATTTTAGGACCATTAGAGTTATTTTACACAGGAACTCGAATGAGACTTTCTTGAGATTAATTTCTCAAGATCATGTTTCTGGAAGGAAGGAAGGCAGGCAGGAAGGATGGAGAGAATGAATGAATGAATGAATGAATGAATGAATGAATGAATGAATGAATGAATGAATGAATGAATGACTAATCAAAGAAATGGAGCAAGAGAATTATACAACTATAATTCATTGCATGCAGGTGTTTTACTTTAGTTTTGTTTTCATTTATGTTTAATTATTTTCAATGATGATTCTTTTTAGGATTATGTCTTATGCACTTGTAAATTATTTAAATATTGTATAGTTTTATTTCCCATCACATTAGAATGAAATTTATTTTTTACTTTAATTGTCATGAAAATAATGTCACAAATTAAAATCTAAATGTTCCTAATAATAAGCATGTTTTTTCTCCTGCAAAACATAATTTCTTTCCTCATTTCTTTCTTTTGATTCTGGGGTGAAAATGCTTGGCAGGGCCACTCATGACTCCTTCACCCACTTCTCTCTGACACTTTTAAACCGGAAAGTAACAATCCAGAGCCTTCGGTCAGCAACATCAGCAACAGCTGAGTGTAGTTCTGTTATTTTTGCATGTACCACAAGGCTTTTAAACAATTTAGACTCCCTTTACATAAACCACACAGAAGGATTTTTAACAAACCATTTTACATATTCCATGTTTACTTTGAAACAAGCCAAACATTACTTTGTAGTTCGACCAAGCAAAGCGTCAATTAAGCAATCTGGATGGACTGGTATCCTCCTCTATCATACATTAAAGCACAACATGGCTTCAAAATAAACCATTGAAGAACATTATGCATTTCTTGCCTTACAGCATTGGCGTGTGTCAATGTTAGGCTTTAATGTCATGCTTTAATGTCACCAGAGGAAGGAAGCAATGTTACCTTGGTTAATCAAACTCATCTGATTCATAAAGGAACACAGCCCAATATAGTACAAGAGCACAGTGTGGTTTTCATCCTGGGGGATCCCAGAAGAAACTGTCTCTAGCCATGGTGGTATTAGCTGCTTTCCAGACTTATGCTTTAGTCTCTACTGTATGGCTGCTCACCATGAGCTGGCTTCTGGTTTCCTTGTAAAATATAATTGAACCTCACATTGACATCACACTTTCCTCCCCACAAACCACCCATGCTAGAGAGAAAAAGCTAGAGTTGAAAGACACAGACAAAGGAGAAGAAGCCATGAGAACCAGAATGGAACCTGGGCATCTTCCAAACCTTATTCAGACCTCAATCTTAGACTGATCACCGCTACAGTACAAGGCTGCTAGATTCAAACCTAGTCAAAAATAGCATTGCAATTTTGCAGCAAACTGACTTTCAGAAAACCTTAACATTCATGGACAATATTGTGGAGATTGTGACCACATGCTGTTAGTGGTACCACAACAACTGATTTCCATAGCGACTTGTCTCATAAATGTTCACAAACTGTTTTTGAGTTTAACCCCAGAGCAAATTTATGTCACCAAATGTTGTTCAATTAATATAATATTGTAGACTAGTAGTTAAGATTTGGGCTTGAGTTCCTACAAACTCTGAAATTCATGAGTTATCATCATTGTGCTGAGTACAAGCCATTCAATACCAAGTTGCATTGGATAAAATGATCAGCTGAATGACTTAATATTGTACATTTTACAGCTTGAGTCATTTAATCTAATTTTATACAATGAAAAAACAAAAAAAACATAATTACCTGGATTTACTTGAGACTTGACAGCTCCTGATAGGTAAAGGAGAATAAGGAGCGGAAATAGCATCTTCCAAAGTTGCCTCATCTCAGGCGGAGATGGGACCATCATTCCTGGAGAATGAGAGACATGGTTAGAAAAAACTCATGACTTAATTTCACCACAGACATCCAGGAACTGTTTTAACATGATTTCTTCTTAAATAAAACTCAACTAAGAGAAGAATCAACCCTTGAGCAAACTTCAGCCCAGACTTCACCCTCATATTTATGACGTTTCAAACTTGTATGACTTTCTTTCTTCGGTGTTACACAAAAGAAGATATTTTTTTCAGAATGTCTGTGAAAAAATTTGTTTGTTTTTTTTTTAACAATGAAAGCCAAAGCCAAAACATTCTTTAAAATATCTTCTTTTGCGTTGCACCGAAGAAAGAAAGTCTTTATGGAGTGCTTTTCAACACATGCCCAAATGCTCATGTCAATGGCTGGTCTTCATCCTTTCATTCAGTTTTTTATTCTTTCATTACAAAAAGGCACTGAGCCATGACACAAGTTTAATAGGAAAATAGGTTGTTGTTATTTTGAGGCAATGGTTTTAATTTGGTCAATAAAGATGCAATAATTGCCTGCAGAGCATAATGGAATTTCCATATATTCATTATAATGACATGAGAACAGCAACAACTGTTGGGAAAACTTCACAAGGCATTGTGGCTAGAGTTGAAAAAATGTACAAAGTCTCTGAGTTCAAAGAGAAACTACTTGCTCTCTGGGTTTACTTCAATTACTGACCATCAAAACTTTTATGAAGGTCTGCTTTGGACATACGATTTTGAGAAAACACAGACACACAATAAAACTAGCCAGCACATCTTAACATTCATATTTACATAAATTCAGTATGCAGATGTTTCTGTTTAAATTATGCTATAAAAAATTTAGAACAGAAACAGAACATTGCAAAAATCCTATTCTTATTTTTTTAAAGAAGCAAAACTCCATGATAAACTTGTGACACATGAGATGCTAATAAACAAGTTCAAAACACAGTTTATTGAATGTGCACTTGTAGTGTACTTCAAATCTTAAAAGTATTATTATGAAATTATGAAATTATGAAAATATAATATAATTTGTTACAGGTTGCTGTGTATAATCCACAAAGATAGATGCACAACACAGGAAGACAATTAAAGATATGTGTAATGAACAACAGGAAAATAAACTCTACACATGAAACATAACGTTAACACTGGACAAGGAACTAAGGAAAACTCAGGGCTTAAATACACAAGGGAAGATAGTCAACAGAACGGGGAACAGGTGTGTAACTCTAGTAGAAAACATGGAAACAAACAAGGAAGTAGAACTCAGGTAAACGGAAAGAGGGAAAACCAAACCTAAGACCTATTCGGATGGCAATTGTTTCTCATGGATGTCTGTAAAAATACATTTGCAAGGCACCTCAGAGATAGAACTCATGCATTCGGATGGCGATTTATTCACGGTGGAGGAGCGAGTTTTGTGATCCTACGGACCCGGGAACCCCGTGGTCAGTCACATGATTGTCTGCTGTAAATAAAATTGTCATATGCTTGGACTATATTCATAAATAATGTTCTATTTAAACACTATATTTGAAATGGTTTTCTGTCTTGCATTTTATCTCAAAATGATGGATGTCATTTTAAAAATATGGAAATGAAGAGAAGTTAATGCAGCCTCTTATTTATACATGAGGTAACCATAAAGCTGCTTGGTTTATATTTTTAATGTATAGGCCTATAATTGTATATAATAGGGCCTACATATTTAAAAGTCATTCCTGCCACAATAATGGCCCATTTCAAATCTTTACATGCTTTTTCTCCATTTTCTCCCACTCGCTGAGGTGGTGCGGTGATGAAATATTGTTCTTTTAAATACTTTCCAGCATTTCAGTAATAAAAGTGTACATCTTTAAAATGCATGCAAATTACAGTGAAGTGCAACAGTTATCGTACGGTGCTCCGCAGTGGTCAAAAAGGATTTAAACAGTGCATTTTGAAAATATTTCTTCTTGCAAACTCAGAGATGTGGATTCGGACGGCAATTTAATTACCACACGACCTCGGTGTTTGTCAAAGAACAGTAGGTAATTCGGCCGAGGATTTTTATGTGGGTGGTGGGAGAAAAATGATAACATTCTGGATTTGGACAGCAATAAAATCTCTGACTAGCCCCTGTAAATGTTGAAAATACCTTCTGTCCCCATGATAAACAATTACAGTCCAAATAGGGCTTTAGGTTACGTTTACATGTCCAAATTGTGCTAAAAACAGAAACTTTTTTCTTTTGCGTTTTTCGCGTACAGACGCCAAAATTGTCAAAACGATCCCAGTTCACATGGATCCGTGAAAACAATTAAAACCACTGTATTATGCATGCATCACTTTGTAAAGAAAAACTACATGCCAATACTGAACACGTAATCAAATGTGCATGACGTCACCGTTTTCACAAATTCCCAAGACAATAACGGTATCATTTTCAAAACCTTGCATTTTTCAAAAGCTTGCGTTTTCAGGCCCCCAAAACACCATTGTCGTGTAAATGAACGGCCAAAACGCATACAAAATTTTCTGTTTTTAGTAAATGGTAAAACACAAAATAATGTGAATGCAAACACTTACTTGATCATGCATTGTTTCTTTCCTAAATTACATTCTCAGCATTAAACATTGGCCGCAAACATGTTAGCGATCAACCTGAATGATGACACAGACATTTGATTTGAATGTAACTTTATCGCCTCTTGAGTACTTAGTTTTTTGTAATACTGTTTTTATTGCTAGAGTACTTAGTTTTGGGATAGCTCATTTGCAGTGTATTGGCTGAGCATTCATGTCTGCACGTACCTACTTGCAGAGTATGTTTCTGGCCTGACATCGCAAGAAAACAAAAAAACTGACCAGGGGATGTGGACTGTCTGACTGTGGGTCAGACGTTACCTCAGAGAGTGTGTTAGTGCCAGTATGAATGACCAGTTAAGTCAAAATGTCACTTCCCCCTTAACTGATCATACTATGAAATAGTACTGGCTGATTATTACACAACATGTATGTTCTCAAAAACCAGCGAACAACAGAAATGCTTATGACAAATGATTAGGAGAATGACATGACAAGACTCAGGATATATTCTACAAAACATGACTGTTTCCAACATTCAGTCAAGTATTTATTTTTCTAAAGACAGATGCTGCAGACTAAAATTAAGCTTGCGTTAATCATAATGGAGAAAATTAGATGTACATGCTGGAATGTAAAAAAGTGCAGGATTACTCACTGGTTTTTACTGTGCATGACTGTCCTGGTTCTTTGAAAGGTCTCAACACATGTTTCATGATGTGTTATGTAACATGAAGAGACACAAAGACAATTGTACCATCAATTTACCCTCATTTCATTAGAAACCCACTTCACCCCCCAAAGTTATTTTCCATGTAATTACAAAGATTGTCATAGCGCCCATTCATTGTCTTCATCTCCGTCTGTCGAAGACAACAATGGATGTGCCCAGGTATAGTCATCATTTAGAGCCGAGGTTACTGTGGCCGAACAGTTCGATTTGTTATCGGCAGTCTATACCGCAGTTTGCGCACACATTGATGATGTTGATTGCGTTGGTGCTGTCGTAACCTTCCTTTTCAGTCAGAAGTCATGTTTCAAATAAGATGTAAAAGCAGTTAAGTGCTAAATTGTAACAGCAAAAACTAGAAAAGCTTCATTTTCAGTGACTACGTCTTCAGTAACCAATACTTGTGTCACTAGAAAATATTTTGAACTAAACATACATTTTGTAATTGAAACAGCAGCATGCATATTTATCAAAGTTATATAAGTTCATCTTAAAGTTTTTAAGGCTGGAACAAAAGTGACTTTGGATCTCTGCTGGATGCTCTAAGAAGCCAAGAAAAGTCTTCATCATCAGCCAAACAAAACTCTCCTCGATTGGAGCAGGAGTGCCCTATACGAACATGTGTGATCTTCTGCCTCATTTAAGGTTGAGCATTTTAAAGAAGTTTTAAAAGATTGTCAAAGGCCTCCTAGACTCAATGTACAAAACACCCTTTAAACATTCACTAAGATGAGAAGGCACGCTCAGAGGAACTCCGTAAGGTTATGATTAAGATGAACGTGACTTTAGCATCATGACTAGGGCAATTAGCATTTGCCCTTTATTTAAATTACAAAGTGGCTCCAAAGTATTTGAACACATCTGCCGCACAAAGAGTGCCTAAATATAATTGAATTTCATAAAATAGATGGTTTCGTCCATAAAGGAATAGTTCACCCAAAAATTAAAATTAGCCCATGATTTACTCACCCTGAAGTCATCCTAGGTGTATATGACATTCTTCTTTCAGAGGAATACAATCGGAGTTATATAAAAAAAATGTCCTGGCTCTTCCAAGCTTTATAACGGGAGTCAATGGGTATATATTTTTTTGTCCATCAAAGTGCATCCATCCATGATAAAAGTGCTCCAAGCGGCTCTCGGGGGTTAATAAAGGTCTTCTGAAGTGAAGCTATGCGTTTGTGTAAGAAAAATATCCATATTTAAAACTCGACTAGAATAACTAGCTTCCGGCAGACGGCCGTACGTAAGTCGACTTACGCCAAAAGAGTAACACGACGACATATAACGTAGAATGTAGGATTAGCATAAGCTTTGACGCCTCTCGCGGTTCAAACAAACAGGGCTGGGCAACAAACTCAAGCTCCTCTTGAGTTTGACATTTCTCTTTAAACATGGTCGTTTTAGACTTCTAATTCGTGTCTGGTGTTTTGTTTTGCTCCATCCTCTGCACTCTCGCGTTCGTCATTGTGCGTCAAGTTCAAGGGTTACTCTTTTAGCATAAGTCGACTTGCGTACGGCCGTCTGCCGGAAGCTAGTTATTTTAATCGATAAATCGACTCGATAGAGTTATAATTGACTCCCATTATAAAGCTTGGAAGAGCCAGGACATTTTTTTTATATAACTCTGATTGTATTCGTCTGAAAGAAGAATGTCATATACACCTAGGATGGCTTCAGGGTGAGTAAATCATGGGCTAATTTTCATTTTTGGG